GCCTTCTCCTCAGGTTTCTTCTACTAAACTAAAACTATTGATCCCCCTACCCACAGCCCAGTGTCTAACCTGCCTTTTCTGGGGAAGGTCATTGCGTGAGCAGTGGTCCAGCAGCTCCAGGTTTTCCTGGATGAGACATCTGCCCTGGACCCTTTTCGATCAGGCTTTAGGCCTGGCTTTGGGACCGAGACAGCACTGGTCACTTTGGTTGACGAACTCCGTCTGTGTCTGGATAGAGGCATGCTTGCCCTGTTGATCCTTCTGGATCTATCAGCGGCCTTTGATACAGTTGACCATTTGGTCCTGATTGACCGCCTTGCCTCCCTGGGGGTAAGGGGCACTGCCCTTAGTTGGTTCTCCTCAGTCCTCCAGGGATGCTCCCAGAGGGTTGCTTTTGGGGAGGGGAGGTCTTCCCGACAAGACCTGAACTGTGGGGTCTCACAGGGGTCAATCTTCTCTCCAGTGTTACTTAACATATATATGCACCCTCTTGCCAAGATCGTCAAGAGGTTTGGAGTTGGGTGCCATCAATATGCTGATGACACTCAGCTCTTCCTCCTGCTGGATAAGCAGCCGGCGGCGGGGCTCTCGGCACTATCCCTGTGCCTGGATGTGGTGGTCCACTGGTTAAGGGAGAACTGGCTGACGTTGACGCCATCCAAGATGGAGGTGATGTGGCTGGGAAAGACTGAGATGCCAGCTGGTAGGTCACTCCTGAGACTCAATGGTGCCCAGTTGACAGCTGTAGACTCTGTAAAGAACCTTAGGGTGTGGTTGGATTCTTTGCTATCATTGGGTAAACAAGTGTCCGTGGTGAGCCTTTTTTCACCTACTCCAGGCCTGCCAGCTGGCTCCTTATTTGTCTGGGTCAGACCTTGCCACATTGATCCATGCAACCATCACCTCCAGATTGGACTACTGCTATTTGCTTGACATAGGGCTGCCTTTGAAAATGCTTTGGAAATGGCAAATGGTCCAGAATGCTGCTGTCAGGGTGCTGACTGGAGCATTATGGTCAGCCCATATTATTCTAATGCTGCAGCAGCTGCACTGGCTACCAATTAGTCTCTGGATCCAATTCATGGTGTTGGTGTTTACCTTTAAAGCCCTAAACAGTCTGGGACTCTCATACCTACAGGACCGCCTCTCCTATTACAACCCCCCATGCTCCCTTCGGTAATCATCTAGGGGGCCTCTTGCAGGTGCCTAGCCTCAGGATGGCTCAGTTAGCTGTCGCCGGGGAAGGGCCTTCTCAGTTGTGGCCCCTACCCTGTGGAATGCTCCCTCGGATGACACCCGGGCCCTTGCCGGACTTGTTTAGTTACTGCAGGGCATGCAAAGCCGAACTGTTTAGGTTGGCCTTTGGAGGGTAACCACACGTTTGGGCTGTTTTAATAGTAGTATGGTGTTAGCCATATATTTTAATGTTAATATTTTATATTTGTTATATGTTGTTTTATCTTATTGGTTTTAGTGTTGTAAGTTGCCGCAAGACCCTTCGGGTGAGTGGCAACTAAAAAAAAAATCAAACAAATAAATATATAGTCTTGGATTCTAAACCTCATTCAATGCCCACTCTGCGTCCTTCCTTACCCCGCCCCCCCACTCTGAACTTCCCATAACCCTAACCCCAAGGAGCTCCTTCTATCTCTAACAAATTTTCACCAGCCAACTGGACAACTTCTCCTTCCTTTACAGGAGCTGTACCATGCCCTCATCCTTAAGCTCTGCTTTTCCAACTGGCTACCTGGAAAAATCCAGAGAGGCATCTATTTTATTGAGAGAACGAATATGTTACAAACCCGCCCTGAAGTCTAAATCAATACTATCGAGAGAGGGAAAAAACAAAAAACAGTGGGAACAGAGCCAGCTGTTTCAGAATGGAGGAAAGAACAAAAATACACCGAGTAAATTTCATTTATCCAAGCATCTCTCATCCAGACCCAATTCTCCCTCCCTTAATGCCCTGCATCTCTCTCTCTCTCTCTCTCTCTGGTAACAGGTCAACATTCTTTTCACTGACTAGCCAGGAAGAAATTTCAGCAGCGCTGGGAGCTTTGAGAAGTAGCAGAGAGCCACTATATTAGCAGGAAAGTGGAAAGTGGAACAAATAGGTTTACTGTAGGAAGAAAATCCTACAGCAAACGTCAAGATACCATGAAGCAGAACAAACCAGTTCAAGTGTGACTTGGAAAGAGTAGGCTTTGTCCAAAAAAAGAGAGGCTTCCTCACTCTTTTGTGTGTGAAGGAGCATCCAAAGTCTGGAAAATGGGGCTGCTGGAAAGATATGGAAGAGCAGGTCTGCAGATCCAGCTCACTTTTAGCAGAGCTTTCCCCCCCTTCTTCCACTCTCACTAAATGGCATGTTTTATAATCTTCCCAATCTGTGAATTTGCCCTAATGGCTCAGTCAGCTACCTGACTATAAAATACCTTATTGTGATTCCTTCCATACAGACTTAAATTTCCTCAGCTTAATCTGGGAGAGCTCTAAACGAAAGGGAGAAAGTAGCCTGGGCAAGTTTCCCATTGGGGTGAAAGACTCTTTCCTTTTCAACAGCTAAATACTTGCCGAGGTACAAGAATCATGAAAATAAAATTGAGAGAACACCCCAAAAGTAAAATGATCGATCCTGCAGGAGCGATGGGGAACCTGGTGGTTTTCACGGGTCCTTTAGTACACCTGTAGAGGTATACAACACTTATCCTTTGTGGGACACACAGGAAGTATGAAATGAAAAATGACAAAAACAACAATAAAACCCCAGGGTGCAAAATGTTATCCTGTTATTGTGCTTTACATTCTGGAAAAACTGGGACAGGACAACCTTGTGCAATGATAGGGCAGGATAAAGATGAACAAAGATGATGAGAGAGGGCAGAACTGCTCAATTCCTACTTTTCCTCAGCCTTCTCTTGCAAGGGAAACGGTGCTCAATATGGCAAAAAAAGAACACATGATGAGGGAAGGGAGTTGCAGCCTAGGATCGGCATGGGGTAGAACATAAACACCTAGTTTCTTTAAATGAAACTAAGTCCTCGGGGCCAGATGAATTGCATCCAATGGTACTAAAAGAACTTGTGTATGTAATTTCTAAGCCTCTGTCCACTATTTTTGAAAATTCTTGGAGAGCATGTGAGGTGCCAGAAGATAGGAGGCAGGCAAATGTTGTCCCCATCTTCAAGAAGGGGAAAAAGGAGGATCCGGGTAACTACCGACCCAACAGTTTGACATCTATACCTGGGAAAGTTTTAGAACAATCATCAGACAGACAGTCCTTCAGCATTTAGAAAGGACAGCTGTGATTACTAAGAGCCAGCATGGGTTTCTCAAGAACAAGTCATGTCATACTAACCTTATCTCTTTTTTTGAGAAAGTTACTACCTCGCTGGCTCAGTGGAATGCTGTAGACATAGTTTATCTTGATTTCAGTAAGGCTTTTGATAAGGTTCCACATAATATTCTTGTTGACAAATTGGAAAAATGTGGTTTGGATCCTATGACTGTTAGTTGGATCTGTAACTGGCTAACAGATCACACCCCAAGAGTGCTTGTGAATGGTTCCTCATCTTCTTGGAGAGGAGTGACAAGTGGAGTTGCCTCAAGGATCTGTCCTGTTTTGTTCAGCATCTTTATCAATGATTTGGATGAAGGGATAGAGGGAATGCTTATTAAATTTGTAGATGATACTAAATTGGGAGGGGTAGCAAATATGGTAGAAGAAATACAGGATGATCTTGACTAGCTGGAAAACTGGGCTAAAACAAATAAAATGAATTTCAGTGGGGATAAATGTAAAATTCCGCATTTAGACAGGAAAAATCAAATGCATAATTATAGGTTAGGGGAGACTTGTCATGGTAGAAGTACATGCAAAAAGGATCTAGGGGTCTTAGTAGACCAGACACTGAACATGAGTCAGCAGTGTGATGCAGTTGCTAAAAAGACAAACGTGATTTTAGGCTATATCAACAGAAGTATAGTGTCCAGATCACATGAAGTGATGGTATCGCTTTACTCTCCTCTGGTGAGACCTCACCTAGAATATTGTGTTCAGTTTTGAGCACCACAATTTAAGAAAGATATAGAAAAGCTGGAATGCATCCAGAGGACAGCAAGGAAGATGGTGAGGGGTCTGGAGACCAAGTCCTATG